TACATAATAGCACTCTCCTGACTGCGCGGCAGGACGGTAAGTGAGGGCACAGGGAGTGGCCAGCGTCGTCTCTAAGCGATCTTCTGCAACATCTGCCATCTCAGGGACACACAGCAAGATCACCAGAGAGAGGGCGAAATGCCAACGGTACTACTGAAAAGCAACGGAATTTAAAAACTAAAAAGACTCAATGGTTAAAATTAAGATTCAAGTGTTCCCAAATCGTGAGGATCCTTTCTAAAATTTGCTAATGTGAGGAGGATTGGGATGGCATCGGCCGCGCCCTCCTGAACATTCACCTGTCCAGAGTGCCCATTGCAGAATACAGGGGAGCCTCCCCAAAGGCCAGGAGGCAGGTCCTAGAGTCTTTCCAAGAAGACGGTGATTCTAGGGTAACGTTCTGAAGACCTCATATAAAATCACAGCACAGATAATGATCTTTCTAGGTGTGGCTGTGGATGCAAACTTGGAGATGTCGAACGGTGAAATCAGTGACCCACACGGATAAAAATTCCTGGCAGGTTCCTTAGCACAGCAGACTGGCATGAAGGTATAAATCTTTAAAAAGAGGAAGGTTTAGCTGTATTTCAAGTTATGGCTTTATTTTGATAATTCACATTTGATAGAAAGAGAAAATTTTAAATTTTCTTCTGCTTTCTGCTTTGAGGAACTTGCCAGGCAGGTAGGTGCCATCAGAGTTTAGATTTAATTCACCACCTTGTAATTAACAAGTACTTATACAGTAAATGTATCAACTCCTCAGCCGCATGCAACTATGATCTGAACTACTTATACTCAGTAAAGTCCCATTTTTACTGAAGAGATATAAAGAAAGGTCAATGTGGGAATGAATTTCTAGAAAAAGGAAATTAGCAATTCATCCTCAGTATTTGCTAAAAAAAATAATCCCATTCTGTTTAAATGATAAACATGTTCATACTGTATCTTTTTCATTTTACTAGTTAACTAGGAAATAGGAAATAAATTTTTTTTAAAAAGCAAAGAAATATCATCCAAATAGCCTCTCCTTTATTTTGTCAAACCTACATTTTGTTAAAATTGGATTACATTAAAAGGGAATTTATGATTTTGACATGAGCTAGTTCCATTCCTGTTCTGGTGAATTCTCACTGAGTCCACTTTGTACAGGAAGGTAGCCGGACTAGAGGCCTAACAGGCAAAAGGTGCCAGGAACCCAAGTTTGGTCTGGAAGCAGAATGGAGTGGCTGACATTTCAAGCCAACTGAACAAGATTCAAGGAAGACCTCTACCGTAGGTGAAGGCTGTTAGGACTTGGGTGAGCTCTAGGGTTCCTCTATGTAAGCTGAGAGGGTGGTGGAAGCCCAGCCTCTCCTCCCCATCTTTCCTTAACACTAAGGAGCAGTGACTGCACTGAGGGAAAACCAGAAAGGCAGACATCCAAGCCCCTGCTGCTACGGCTCATGATACAGGCAGTCAGGCTACAGTCGTCCCAACACCAACTCCGGAGAGCTCCCAGATGCTTCACTTTACTTACTACCGTGATTTAAGGGCTGAGTGAGCGAGTTTTTCAAACTAGATCCTCTTAGGGGGCCAGTACCCATTTCTTTGGGATCCTTTGTTTCCTTTGAAAATTGATTTGTTTCGTTTTGGCAAGAACAAAGCAGAAAATCACCAGTGGTGACAGCAAAAGAGGGTAGTTAGCAGAGAATTAGCAGGAATTAGTGTAGACTGATTTATATTACATATGCTTGAGGAACAATGCTGTATTAGCAGAGAGAAGCTCTCACATCTTGATTTCATGATTACATGAAAACCATCACACTGCACTTTCTCCCCAGACGCTAGTGCCTCTAACATAAACAGGGCTTCTTTCCTAAAGCCAGTGAGGGACAGCAAGAGGGGCCGCACACTTCCCCGCTCTTGTCCTCTTCTGCTGTATGCTCTCTGCAGCCTTAGGCCACTTTGAACCAGTGCCCAGGGAGCTTACAGAGGGAGATGCTCAGTTGGAACCAGTGAATCCAACCGGGGATGCTAGTGACCCCGGGAAAATGCTTGTGAGGGAAAACTTGGCCCGGGCCAGTGGTCTCACTTCTCTATTTCCGAGGGGGTGGCGGAGGTCCCGCGCCCGTTCCCCACATGGATCTTACTGGAATCACCCGGACACCGGGGTGGGCGGCTCCTTCCCTGGCCCAGGCGCCCAGGGGCACGACAGCAGGACTCCTGTGCGGGGCCAGCAGGGAGGACAGGAAGTGCACGTTGTAGGCCTGCGGCTGCGGGGCAACAGGCAGCGCGGCGTCCTCCAGGGGGCTGAGCTCGGGGAGACTGGGGTACTCTGGGAGCATCTCCTCATCGTCGTTGTCGTCCACCACGAGCTCCACTTTGACCTGACTCTCACAGTCCACGTGAAGCGGGGGGTTGAACGCGTGCAGGAGGGGCTCCTTGGGGTCCGCGGAGCTCAGATACGCGTCTTTAAACACGTGGAACTCGTCCTCCTCGTGCTTCACCACCACGGGGGTTTTCAGGGTAAGGTTTTCAGGAAAAAACGGACTCTCTGCACTGAAAAGGTCTGTCACGATCTCCTCCTCGGGACTGGACATCCCGCCAAGCAGAGGGGCCTCTTCCATGTCCACTGAGGGGACCTCGGGCCGGGCATCGCCACGCACCCCTCGCTACGCGGATTCCGGCTGGGAGCCGAGCACCTGCAATGACGTGGCCAGGTGAGGCGGGCACGGCTCCGCCCCGCCTGGGCTCCCTAGCGGGTCCTCCGCACCAGAGGGGCCGACCGGGGCGGGGGTCCTCCGTTCCCGAGGGGCCGACCGGGGCGGGGGTCCCTCCGTTCCCGAGGGGCCGACGGGAAAGGGGTCCCTCCGCGCCCGAGGGGCCGACCGGGGAGGTGTGTGGGGGGGGGTCCCTCCGTTCCCTAGGGGCCGACCGGGGGAGGGT